GTCTCGCATGCGTTGAATCTCGTTTTGATAACGAAATTTCACTGTGGGGTTATAGATAGTGACAAAATCCACCGGATCTTTTGGGTTCGATCGATCGTAGTCGGAAGGTTCCGTTTGATACACATGATTACTGAAAAACGTAGCCGAGACACCCAGGGGATCTTCAATGACAACAGTAAGTAAATAAGAAAGACCTATGCATGCGACTCACCTTCACAGAAAATCACGAAAGTGAACTAGTCACCCGGCTTATTTTGGAAAGAGCAATCACACGCACATTTCTGGCAGTACGTTTACGCCTCCAGTTCACCAATCATCCAATTATTTTCATAAACCTCACGAAAAAATTGCCTGTTTCTACCTTTACCATGATTATCTACTCATTTGTTTGCTCATGTTCGGCAAGCTAAATAGGTAGAACGATCAGACAGTTTTCCTAGAGGATCAAGGGGCACAAACCAGCCTGTTTGAATACTGGGGACAGTAAAACCGTCTCAATGCCATTGTGAAACATCTCGCAAATAATGTACATAATGTGAGCACAGATGTTTTCACCGAATTTGAACATCACAATTAGAACAAGTAACCTTGCCTTAGAAACTCATTTGGTGGGCTCCAAAAAATTCTAAGAAAACCTGTCGGGGAAGTTAGCCTACATGCTCACTGGTGGGTCATGTCTCTGGAAGTTCAATGGTTGATGCGGATGTGAAAGGATCAGCGCTATCGGTGTGGCATCGTAGCTCAGCCGACAGAGCGTGCGCTGTAAAAAAGCGTAGGCGGCGTCCATGCGTGGGTTCGAATCCCACCGAGGCTACTGAACTTTGGAATTCTCCCGTACAGCGAAATGGTCCGGAACATAAATCTTGCAGTATTGCCGCATGGTCTTTTCTTTCGAAATATTATATTTACATGAAAGAAAAATATTTAAAAAATATAAACAATCCTTCTGCTTGCATAATCTCATCGTCGAGCACCACAGTTTGAGGGTATTTATAATTTA